TTGAAACATTTGGGATAATGTAAGTACACAAGTCAGCAAAATATAGAACACCGTTCTAGTGGTTTTTGGATAAAAAAAAATCGCACATCTTGTGCCTTTAACTAGAAATGACCTCTAAACGGCAGGGCCTCCCGGTGTTGTGTTTGTAAACACCATCAGTGTTTTTGTTGACGTTTTCATTTTTGTGTCAAACATTCACATTGATGCAGCTGCTTTTGGCCCAGAGACGTCGTATTAGACGACTCCAAAACTGAACTACACAGTAAATGCGTCATCTGCATCAGAATGTTCTGATTGGTCCAGAGTAAACATTATGGGCTCATGACGGCAATCTTCATTCTGCATTCACACAGAGCAGATTACTGGTAATGCTACAACAAATTTACCGGTATTAGAAAAGGTCCAGTTCACACCTGATCGCTTAATAACGGTAATTTACCAGTAAACTGTATGTGTGAAAGGGGCTCTTAACATTAACATTAATTAATTTTTAGCTTTTCATCAACTCACAAACCCCAGTTTAGGAAGCCCTGTATTAAAAATACTGTTTCAAAAAGGTAACTTACTTTTTTGATGATTGAAACTTCATCCAATCACTTACCAAACACATGGTGAACAATTACAACATCTAGTTTTAATGCTGAAAAGGGATTTTCAGGAAATCAAATCTTTTACGGTCTTTTGGACTTTAGAGTTGTAAGAGGTTTACTGAATATTAAAGCCCAGCGTTCATGTCAGCACAGTAACAAGGCAGTCGTTGAAGATGACGCCCTGAGTGTCCATTCCTCCGAAGATGAAGCACAGATGCACCACGTCTGCGTCACATGACTGAGCTGCGTGTTCTTCAGGCGTCTTCACACGCCACGGCACTAAACACATGGAGTGATCCAGTCTGCTGGGAGGAGGGTCTCCGTCAAACCTCAGCCGCGTCCAGCGCTGTTTGTCTGCCAGCAGAAGAAAGAACTGATTTTACTTTAGATGTTCTGATGAGCTACAGAAAGACATGTGCACAGCTTGCTTTTCTGGCCACATTAGGGTTATTATATTTATATTACAGTTTTTTTACAATCATTTTTGCACTACTATCGGAACCTTCGTGTCGTTTTTCAAAACTCTAAACAACCGATGATCAAAATGCACATTTATAAAGCAGAGAGATCCGGTGCTTGACTCTGATTGGCTGAGCC